AGAATAGTGGGATTAACTGAAAGGGCGAGCATGTTTGGTAGGTCGGGGATTCGAACCCGCGACCCTAAGATTGCGAGTCAAGCGCCATAACCACTTGGCCATTGCGGGTCCTTCACCCCTTCCCCCCAAAAAGAAAGAAAATGGTTGTATCTCCTCCAATTCTTTTCAGTTTTGGGATTGACGAATATTAATGAATTCCTTATACGACAGTTCACAGATGTAAAATGCTGTACATGGTCTGTCTGGTTCAGAGATTCGTTGGTAAAAAATAAATGTTGCTTTCTACCTTTCCTAAATGTCTTCATGCAGCCATGTGACGTCGTTGTGAGTTTTGAGCATAGGCGTCACAACCCTTTTTTTTCAGGTTTTTCTACTGGATGCCCACTAGTTTTTTTCATTTGCATTCAGCAGATGTTGGTGAGGGTTAGCACATTTTTGAGTACTGTTACTGCATTTTCTACTGCTTTTAGGATTATGCTTTGGCAGTTTTTTATAAATTGAATAACTTATTTGCACGATGTTGATGGTTAGATGTAAGTAAGTATTTATCACTGCTTTGTTGCGCTTATTTGATTTACATTTAAAATCGATGCTGCGTTTTTTGTCTTCTTGCTATCTTAATATAATATATACACGTATACCATCTTTCAACTAATACTTTGTATGCTAATACCAATTTTCAAGTGAATCGATTCAGAAAAATCTGAGATCGGCCCAAACCCCCTTTAATACCCCTTGTTTTAGGAACCTCTCTCGCGACTTTTGGAAATTGTTTTCTTCGTTTATATTCTGGGGTCAAGAGTCTACGTGCGAAATTTCAATTCGTACTATTAAACATTGTGGAAATAATTGCAAAATGAAACTTATATTTATTTGTTTTAGCGCAAAGCTACACAATATGTTATCTTGCGGCCTGTCGAAGAATCGAACCACGGAATCGTGCGTGGTAGGTCCGTGAATTTACCGCTTATCAACTAGGGGAATCAAAGATGAGGTAAACTTGGATACAAAGATGCAACTGAAAACTGCTAAGTAGATAGAGAATCAGCTTTCAGAACCTGAGATAAAAAGGAACTTCAGCAAGTAGCGTAGCAAAATATGTGGACGGGGGGGGGGGGGGTTGAGCCTCTAGCTGCTTAATCAATAATTGTTAAAAAATCTGAATTAAAATAACCTGTACGTATAATTATCTTATGTACATGTTTATAAAGTGTTTAGAATTTAGGCGTCACCATTGTCATTTCGTAGCTACACTGAACTGATTATATACATGTTTTTGTCAAGAAGCTATGAAGCTTTATTTCTTAACACGTCTGTGAGCTCTGTACTGATCATCAAAGAATTTAGTTGAAAGTTCTGTCATGACGACATACTGCATTAAAATGTATTCTATACTGTTTTACCCTATTTAATTTAATGAAAGCCCTGCCATGACGAAATACGGCATTTAAATGTATTATGTGCCCGGCATGGCC